TCCTCTGTGCCAGGCTCGGTGCTAAATGGGATAGACGCAGAGATGAAGAACACGGTGCTTGCTTTCAAAGAATTGACATTTTAGTAGAAAGAGACACAAGGCTGGGTGCAGTGGCTCACACCTGTAATCCCAGCACTTCGGGAGGCCAAGGCAGGTGGATCATGAGGTCAGGAGATCAAGACCATCCTGTCTAACACGGTGAAACCCTGTCTCTACAAAAAAAACATAGAAAATAATTAGCCGGGCGTGGTGTCAGGCGCCTGTGGTCCCAGCTACTTGGGATGCTGAGGCAGGAGAATGGCATGAACCCGGGAGGTGGAGCTTGCAGTGAGCCGAAATCGTGCCACTGCACTCCAGCCTAGGCGACAAAGCGAGACTCCATCAAAAAAGAGAAGAGAAGAGAACACAAAACACTCATTCCATAATTCAAATATTTAGTAAGCACTTACTGTGTGCCAGGCATTATTCTAGGTACTGGGCATACAGCAGGAACAAAACAAAATCCCCATACTCACAGAGTAGATAATAATCAAACAGTCAGGGCACAGTGGCTCACGCCTGTAATCCCAGCACTTTGGGAGGCCGAGGCAGGGGGATCATGTGAGTCCAGGAGTTCAAGACCAACCTGGGCAGTATGAGGGACCCCGTCTCTATAAAAAATTTAAAAATTAGCCAGGCATGGTGGCATGTGCCTGTGGTCACAGCTACTTGACAGCTGGGGTGGGAGGACTGCTTGAGCCCAGGAGGTCGAGGCTGCAGTGAGCTGTGTTTGTACTACTGCACCCCAGGCTGGTGGCAGAGGGAGACCCAGTGTCAAAAAAGAAATAATTCTTTTAAAAAGATAATAATCAAATAATTAATGTCAGATGCAAATCTGTGCTGTGAAGACACATAAGGCAGAGTTGGGGGAAGAGAAGGGGTCCCAGCAGCAGGGGGGTGCTATTTTAGATGGAGTATTCAGGGGTGACATCTGCAAGTGATTTGAAGGGAGCGGGGAGTGAGCCATGTGGATGTCTGACGGGAAGGGCTCTCAGGCAGAGGACCAGTGAGAGCAGAGGTCTGGAAGCATGGCCAGCGTGGACAGGTAGAAGGATGGGCCCTTTACCCTGGCCATGAGGGAGGGCAGTGCAGACTGCAGGGAGCCAGGGCAAGGCCTGGCTGTGGAGCACGATGTTCGAGGCAGGGTGGTAGCAGAGGAGGTGGCAGAGGTGGGTGGCTGAGGACTTTGGACGGGATTCACGCCTTCGGGAGTCCCTGAAGACACTTATTCTTTGAGACCTAGCACAAACGTCATGCTCCTGTGAGCTCATCCCTGACTCTCTTGACAGCCAGTCTCCGCCTCCCCTGGGTTCCCACATCAACGTGTAGTCTATTTCATTATTGCTGCTTTGTATTGGATTTGAGCCATTCAAGCCCTTCACATATCTAACACATGCACACTCACACACATCTCAGAGCATGGACTCTCACTGCAGATCCCATGGATTTGATATTTCTAATATACAGGACTTAGCATGGAAAATGCTACTGAATACGTGAGTTATCGAATCCATAAACTCACATCCCCCAACTGCACTGTGATTTCATAGTAAAAGAGCAGGACTCTGTCTGGAACTGCTGCTCTATTCAGCAGTGCCTGGAACAGGCGGTACTAACACCTCCCAAGCACCACTTAGATCAGGAGTGCTTCATGGGCATGAACCTGTGCAGTGGCACAGATCCTCGTGCTTAGAAAGACCCGAGTTTGCTGTCGCCATCAGGAAACTCAAAATCTTACCTTTGAACTTGTGTTTTACAGGTGAAATCCAACAGGACAATGAGCATGTCAGGAGCAGAGATGAGCACAGCATGTTCCTTGCAGCTCAATTTGCATATAGAGTGCTTGTGGTGCCCCGTTGCATAGAATTCCGGAGGCCCACAATGCATGGAGTCCAGCAAGACCCCGTGGGATAGATATAAGGTAAGCACATTCCATCTATGACTGAGAAAGTAGGGTGCTGACAGCCCAAGAGGTCCTACTTTCCTTTGGGACCAGAACTTGGTTCAAATACAGAAAGAATACCATGGTGTATTAGTCCATTTTCACGCTGCTGCTAAAGGCATACCCAAGACTGGGCAATTTACAAAAGACAGAGGTTTAATGGACTTACAGTTCCACATGGCTGGGGAGGCCTCACAATCATGGCAGAAGGCAAGAAGAAGCAAGTCACATCTTACATGGATTGCAGCAGGCAAAGAGAGAGCTTGTGCAGGGAAACTCCAGTTTTTAAAACCATCAGATCCAGATCTCATGAGACTTATTCACTGTCACTAGAACAGCACGGGAAAGACCGCCCCCATGATTCAATTACCTCTCACCAGGTTCCTCCCAAAACACATGGGAATTGTGGGAATTACAATTCAAGATCGGGTGGGGACACAGCCAAACCATATCACATGGTGTTCTGAGAAACACAAGCAACCAAGGAAATGTATCAGACACTTTCTTCCCCATGCTACTCGTATTATCATACATGTGCTAGCCAATCACTTACTCTGAAAATGTTGGGCTAGAAGGAAGAAGAGAGGGCAGCCCATGGCTCCTTTTCCCTCAGTCCTTCACTCCTGGTTATACTGAAGATAGAGAGTGTTGGTAGAACAGGCACAGAGCAGGAAGTGAAATGAAAACAATGAAGCTAGTTTTGGGCAGTTTCCACGGTTCTTGTAAGAATGAAATGCATATGCATGTGTGAACAACAAATATTGTTTACTTGTGTGGAATCGTGTGATTCCAGTGGTTCTGTATCCCAGTAAATGTTCTTCTATTTGCATTTAAAACTATCACTTCATAATACAAAGATGAATGGTACATACACTCATAATGTTTTCAGTTATCGTGTTACATTAACAATTCACGTTTTAACTTTACTCAGAATGACATTAAAAAGCAAACAAAAAACACCATGACAGGTCAAAAGAGAGCATGTGGAAGAAAGGAGAAGCTTGGTATCCTAGTACCCTCCATGGTAGTTTCTTTCTGCCTTTGAATGAGGGGCCCCACAGTTTCATTTTGCACTGGGCCCTGCAAATTACACAGCTGCCCAGAGTCGGCTCGAAGCTGCAGTCGCCAATGCCTGGTGTAGGGCAATGATAAAGATGAGGATGGTGAGGGGTCTGGCTTCCATTCACAACATGAACACTCTGCATAAATGAAACAGCAGGCTCAGGACGCCAACCGCCGACTGAGACAAACTGAATACCAGAAGGTCATTAAAGGCGCTTTGAAAGAGGCTCTCACATCCTCTAGCCACGGGGCAGTCTGCGCAGACGGCTGGAAGAAGACAAGGGACAGCAATGGGCTGCCCAGGTCAGAGTCAGAGTCCACATGGGACAGTGGGACATGGGGTCCAGGATGGGGAGATTTGGATAGACAAGCCTGAGAAATGGGGACCCCACCCCCACCCAATCTCCCTGCATTTTCCAGATGGTAAAGCAGGGCTGAGGGCGGAAAAGCTATTCTGTTTTCTCCTTACTCCCACCAGGAGAAAATGGAACAGCTGCCTCTCACCTGGAGAAAAGTAATAGCCTCTTCTGGAGCAGGGCCCAGCCTCGCCCTCCTCCTCAAAGCTGTGCCTCACTGCCCCATTCATCCCAGCCCAGCGGGGAAGCACAGTCTCCACCCCAGGAGTGTCCTGGGGCCACTGAAACAAAGCACCACACCCTGCGGGCTGAAAACAATGGAAATGTATTCCCTCGCACTTCCAGAGGCTGCAGGTGTGGTATCAAGGTGTCAGGAACGCTGTGCTCCCTCTGAAGGCTCCAAGGGAGAACCTGTTCCACATCCCTCTCCTCGCTTCTAGTGTCGCCGGCAACCACCCTTCCTTGACCGCAGACACATCCCTCCAAACTCACTCCACCATCACATGATGTCCTTCAGCATCTGTGCCCTTCACATGGCATTCTCCTCTTACATGGATACCAGCCATACTGGATTAAGGGCCCATCCTACTCCAGTGTGACCTCATCTTAACTTACATCTTAATTATATCTGCAAAACCCCTATTTCCAACCTAGGTCACACTTACAGGTACTGAAAATGAGGACTTGAGCATATCTTTGGGAGGACACAACTGAAACCACAACCCTGAGCCAGCTACCCTCAGAGCAGTGTGGGGCTCTGGATCGTCAGGGACAGGATGGATGTGAGCTGGAGAGGGTGTTGGTGTGGACGCCTTCCCCCAGGACTCTGGACTGTGCTCTAGGAAGGAGACCCGGAACAGGTCCTAATCAATAAATTTGCTACATGAGACCAGAGGACCTAAAGGACCAGAGGCTCCTCCCTGCAATAGGTGCCTCACCTTATTAAGGTGAGGGAGGCTCAGGTGTCTCAGGGTGATTTGTCTGTAGCTGGGGTTGACGATGGGAGCTGCTGTCACAAAACTGAGCTCCCTGGTGCCAACAGAAATGATGGGATTCCAAATTCAAGAGCTGTCTAGGATATGATGTATTGGTAGCCCATCTTGATAGGACCCAGTGCTGTTCTTGGTTCATTTTTACACTTCTAGGACCTTTGTTAAAAATGAATCATTGGCCAGGCATGGTGGCTCACGCCTGTAATCCCAACACTTTGGGAGGCCAAGGCAAGCGGATCACAAGGTCAGGAGTTCAAGTGAAACACGTCTCTACCAAAAATACAAAAGTTAGCTGGATGTGGTGGCATGTGCCTGTAATCCCAGCTACTCAGGAGGCTGAGGCGGAATTGTTTGAACCCGGGAGGTGGAAGTTGCAGTGAGCTGAGACCACGCCACAGCACTCTAGCCTGGGCGACAAAGCAAGACTCCATCTCAGGACAAAAAAAAAAAAGAATCATTTGGCTGGGCACAGTGGCTCACTCCTATAATCCCAGCACATTGGGAGGATGATGTGGTCAAACTGCCTGAGCCCAGGAGTTCAAGACCAGCTTGGGCAACATGGTGAAACTGAGTCTCTACAAAAAAAAACTAAAAAAAATTAGCCCGGCATGGTGGTGTGCACCTGTAGTCCCAGCTACTCGAGAGGCTGAAGTGGGAGGATCACCTGAGCCCTGGGAGGTCAAGGGTAACGTGAGTCGCGACTGTGCCACTCCACTCCTTGTCTCAACAAAGAAATGAATCACTTGATCTGACATTGTCAAGAATAGTAACAGTGGCTCACAGGTCACCACCTACCTAGTTATCATCCCGCATTGAGAAGAGTCATGGTGAAACTGACACATTTTTTCCCTTGCTTAGTGAAGTAGAAAATAAGGGTGTGTCTTACAATCAATGGATCTTAGATTCAATGAAATACTGGAAATGTATTAACAACTATTATTGAAGGCAGGAAATGGTAAAGATGTGTTGTTAAAATTTGCATTATCAGATCAATGACATTAAAATTGAGAATTGCATCACTTATGAAAACATTTTTATTCATTCATTCCACAAACATAGGGGCTTTCCATGTGCAGGGCACAGTGCTGGACACTAAGGCGTCTGCCCTCCAGGCGTTGACACTGAGGCCTGTGCCCTCCAGGCGTTGACACTGAGGTCTCTGCCCTCCAGGTGTTGACATAGGCCTGTGCCCTCCAGGCGATGATACTGAGGCCTGTGCCCTCCAGGCATTGACACTGAGGCCTGTGCCCTCCAGGCGTTGATACTGAGGCCTCTGCCCTCCAGTGCCCATCCAGGCCTTGGTCCTCCAAGCCCACCTGGACTCTGCCTTTCTTTGGGACATTGTCCTGGACTTCAGTCCATCCAGTACTTCTTTTCAGAGCTTCAGAATGGAAGCACAGGTGAAAATCACTATATTTCACCACTGATCATGGGAATCTAGAGTGGAATATTATTACTGCATCACAAACAAGATCACAGACAGGATAAGAAGGGGGACAGAGGAAATTTACAATTCCTCACAAATGGTTCCTTATTTACAGAGGTTGTAAGTGATTATGTAAATCACAGAGCTTCCAATAAAAACCAACTCAAGCTACAAACATGAAAGTCCAAGGGCAGTGCCAGAGCCACCTCACTTGCCCGAGTGCTGCTCTCCAGGGCTTACTACCATCTGCTCGTGTGTCCCTTAAAGCAAGGGCAATGATAGAGACAGCACCGGCCTCTAGTCCTAGGAAGCACACATGCATTCATGTCAAGCACTGGGGGTTTAGTGGGGAGGAGGAGGGGGACACGGGATTATCTGACAGCTGAGGATCTAGAGAATGCTGGCAGAGTCTGGGTCACAGCTAGAGCCCAGTTGTGGCTGAGATCTCCAGTAGCTGAGGGGGAACTAATGTATCAAAATGGGAGGGTCCCAAACTGGCGGGCCACCGTAAGGGCCTGCCTGAAAAGCCCTAGTGATTGGCCTAAATCTTCAGACGGTGGTGGGGTCACCAGGATCTCAGGGGGGCTTCTCAGCTGCTGGCAGCCCACGTCCAGGTTTCCTACCTCCCTTCTGCTCAACCTTTAGGTGCTTCTGCAACATTTACTGCAGCCCTTGCTGCCTGCTGGTGTCTGTGTGTCCTCTGCCAGGTGCCACCACTGACGTCAGATACCCCTCCCAGCCCCACAGCTAGGAACCAGGCCTCAGTCTTCTTTGTATCCCAGTGACTGGCACAGGTTGGATCCTCAGAAAGCCCCCTTTGCCTGCCTGCTCCAACAACGGCTTGAAGGCAAATACTACACCAACTGGACAGTGCCCTGTGAGAGCCAAGATGGCTGGTCCTGAGCACTGGGCCACAGCCAGCCCAGGCCCTTCTGGGACACATGTCCCACAAAGCTGCCTTTCCCAGGTAATAGGGGGCAAGGGGGAGACAGAAGTCAGTGAAAGTTTCCATGAAACATCTTACAACTCACCAAGGCTATTGGATTCGCATCTGAGGGATGCTTGGGCTCAGCCTATTAAACAGGAGGCTGGGCCTGGCCTGGACTCCGTCCAAGGCCTCCTGCTACCACTGCCCACCCTAGGAAGCACTTTACAATCTTCACAGTCAGTATCCAGGAAACCAACGGCTATGGCTAAGGGTGAATACCTTGGATGTCCCTTCAAAGCACTGAGTAATCACATCTCCTAACTGGAACCTTTGTCTCTGAAAATCACTCCCCTAATAGAACAAGGCAAAGCCGGCCACTCCTGCCCACCCCATCTCCCAGCCCAGGTCTTCCCCTCAGTGAGGCTCAGGTGTTTGGGACTGGCCTCTATCCCGGCCACATCCCTGCCTCCCTGCATGCCTCCCTGCGACGAGAAGCCCCGTGGGCAATCGCAGTGCCTGGGAGAACAGCCCTCCCTTGGGAAGCCATGACCATGGCCAGAATACTTCGACCTGGCCAAGAAGTGACCCCCAGGAGAGGCCGCTTGGATTTAAGGGGCACCAACTGCCCCTGTGCCCTCAGACCCCCTTTAGGGAGCTCTCTGGGTGCTACCCACATTCTCCATCTTCACATGAGAAAAAGAACTGTCCAAGGGACTCCCCCCAAGACCTTCCTGATCACCACAGCTCCGCTGCCTGTCCCCAGGGCACCTCCTGAGGCTCAGCTCTGTACCGGTGCCCTCAAATCTGAGTGCGGCAGAAGGATCACTAGTGGCGCTCCCCCGCACTGCATCCCTGAGGCCCGTGGGCGGCTCGTCGATCTGGGAGTCCCTCTCACAAACCAGGCAAGGTGGAGAAGCATGACCAGCATGGCTGTCCTGGTGACACATGAGCCGGGAGGGACAGGTAAAGCTCTCGCCACACCGGCTGCAAGGATAGCGCTTCTCCTGCGAGTGGCCGCACAGATGGCGCAGGAAGCCGGGCTTCTGCGCAAATCGCCTGCCGCACTGGGCGCACTGGAAGGGCTTCTCGCTGATGTGTGTGTGCCGGTGCTCCAGCAGCGTGGACAGGCAGCTGAAGCGGCAGCCACATTGCGCGCACTGGAAGGGCCGCTCTCCCGTGTGCGTGTGTTGGTGCTCCAGCAGCGTGGACAGGCCGCCGGCCGCCGAAGACCTTGGCGCACTCGGCGCACTCGTAGGGCTTCTCCCCGATGTGCGTGCGGTAGTGGGTGTGAGCGTCGACTGGTGGACAAAGGTCTTACTGCATCTGGCGCCGGTGTAGGTACGCTGGGCCACATGCGCCTGGCGGTGGCTGGCGGGGGTGGCCCAATGCGCGAAGCTCTTGGGACACTGAGCACTAGCGAAAGGCCATGGGGCATGATGCGCGCACTCCTGCTGCGGGCGGAGCTCCTACCAGCCGAAGCTCTGGCCCCACTGGGCGCAAGGTGGGCACTGCTCCATGCCCCTAGCAGCTGGCTCAGCCTGGCTTGGAGGGCCTGGAGGGAAGAAGGCCACCTCTCGCTCCCTGGGGTCAGGAAGCAGACCCCCACAGGTGCTTCCCCGAGAGCCCTCCTTGCCAGGCCCCCCTCCAGCAGCCCAGGCTGGCTTGTGTCCCTCGGACCCTCCCTCCAGACTCCTCTTTGCGGCTCAGACAGGTCTCTGCAGGGAAGGGACACAGAAGGGTACAGCGAGTGAGGCCTCCCTGCCACAGGCTCTGCAGCCAGGCCACCCGCCCTTGGCTCTCCTGGAGTCTGAAGCCCGGGGCTCGAGCATCACTAAAGGCCCTGCTCTAGCCTAGCCTCCTTCAGCTCCCATTGTCCTCTGGCGGGTTCCACCCTGTGCTGTTCCACCTAAGGCTACCCCGTTCATCCACCTCTGAGCCTCGGCCCGAGGGTCCTCTCCAGCCAGAACACCTCTGGCCTCGTCTTTGCCTCTCACCCAGGCTCTAAGCCCCTCTCAGTCCCACCTCTCTCTCACGGAGCCTCCCAAGACCAGTGTGGTGACATTTTCCCCGGCAGCACCTTCATCCGGGCCGCCTGTGGCCACCAAGACACCCCTTTTACTACAGTTGAAAGAACACCTTCAGCTATTTGCACATCGTAAGCATAGGTGCTTTTAGAATACTGGCTGTCGGCCGGGCGCGGTGGCTCAAACCTGTAATCCCAGCACTTTGGGAGGCCGAGACGGGCGGATCACGAAGTCAGGAGATCGAGACCATCCTGGCCAACACGGTGAAACCCCGTCTCTACTAAAAAATACAGGTGGCGGGCGCCTGTAGTCCCAGCTACTCCGGAGGCTAAGGCAGGAGAATGGCATGAACCCGGGAGGCGGAACTTGCAGTGAGCTGAGATCCGGCCACTGCACTCCAGCCTGGGTGACAGAGCGAGACTCCGTGTCAAAAAAGAAAAAAATACTGGCCGTCTTTTGGATCAGATCCTGAAAGGGCTCTCTGGCTGTAGACACAATGGTGCCCCTCCCCACTGTGTACTGTGTGCTCGTCTTCTCTCTCCTGAGTGATCTGTGTCTCACACATTAATGAGCCCCTGCAGTGCCCAGCACCATGCTGCCTACAGACCAGTTCATGAAATGAACAGGAAACAGGTTCAGGAATAAAAGAATGATTTCATGCAACTGCATGGGAGGACACCACGCAGCAAGCACACAAGATTCTGCAGAGACACAGCCAAGGCTGCGCACTGCCTTCCCTCAGGAGCCTGGCGCAGGAGGAGGCCCTGCTAGAGGCGCTGGGAGGCCCCCCGGGGGACGCCATGTCTCCTAAGGCCCAGGGATACAGGCCTGGGGAGACACAGCCCAGCATGCCTTACCTGAGCACAGGTGTGCCACAGTGGTCTCCTGTGGGCCCTGCTGGCTCCTCCCACTTGCCCCTGCCTCTTGCTTGATCCAGGCCAGAACTCCTGGGGTGTTTCCAGCTGGCCTGCGTCTAAGGGAAAGAGGAAGAGGCCCTGAGGGCAGCAGGTGTCATGGAGCATCTTTCCTCTCACAGCCTCTGTTGGGACCACGACCCCAAAGAGACTCCCAACAGAACTGTAGGTACCAGCAAAGGCACAGCACATCCTGGGGACGTGTGACATGGCAGCGAGGGGAGCTTGGCCTGTGAATGATGGGCTGTGAGCTGTGACGGGGATGACCAGCCATCTTCCAATGCTATCCACCCCGCTTCAACACTAACAGAGCACTTGGTGTCTTGCTGGGCATGTGGCCACCTAGACTCCAGACATGTTGCCAGGCCTCCCTGTAAGGAGATGTGCCCTGTGGCTGGTCTGGCTAATGGATGTGAGGGCGCTGCCTCCTCCAGCTATGGGATCTTTGACACTGGATTCCGCCTCTCTCTGCCTCCGTTTCTTCATCTATGATATGAGGAAACTGAGAGTTGGAATAAGCTTAAATGGGTCAATGTTTATAAAGTAAACATTGCACAGTAAGTACTAAATGTACAACAAACCAAAGTGTTTGGTTAAAGGGAAGGGCATCAACTAAAACGAAAAGGGAAAGGGCACACTCCCCCCGCCCCCGCCCCAGCCCATCCCCTTGCTTCCTTCAACAGGGCCACGGGCATGGTCGCAGGCCATCTCGAACCACAGTAACAAGGCCTGGCCCCAGGAAAGGTGGAGCGATAGGCTGGAAGGAGCCTGGGCCTGTGAGCTGCCAAACAGCTCTGTTGGGAGGGAGACCATCCCCGGCCACGTGGAAGCTGCGGTTTTGGTTTCATTGTTTTCTTCAGTCTCTGTTACAGCAGCCAAACACAGATCCTACAGTGCCCTTAGGTGGGTGTCCTTCAAGGACTGGGCGACCTCACCAATCTGTGCCCACCTCTAAGGCCTATCTTAAGATCAGGGAGTAGTTACTGCTCCTCTTCCTGCTCCAGGCTTGACACAGGGTAGGCACATTTTTTGTTAAATAAATGAATGAATGGAGAACATTCCAAGTCACCCATATCTAACTGCTGTCCAATCGCCCAATGCTGCCAGGTTTTATAGCCAGGGCACAGCCCACTTCTTTCTGTCATATATGAGGCACTTCTGATGCAGCCACTCTGAAGACACCAGCCCAGCCCGGCGGCCACACACCAGGCTGGCTTCACAATTAACCAGGGCCCTGGAAACCGTTTCAGAGAGGAAGCTGATCAAAATGTATCAACGCGAAAAGATCCTTAAGACATACTATTGAGTGAAAACAGCAAACTGCAGAAGATATGTAGACTATATCTGTGTGTTCTTAACCCTTGTATTTTTCTACAGTACACACAAGTATGTATATGCATGAGAAAATAGCCTGAAAGGTTATGCAGCAAAATCATAACAGTGGCTACCCTGGGAGGGGCCTAGGGTTGGGCGGGTGGCCAGCAGGAGCCGCTTAGCTTTGCCCATGACCTCCACATTGCTTAGTAAGAACGTATTCGTGTAAGAATCTATTTGCATAATCAAAACACAGACACTTTCAACAGCCAGAGACGGGTCACTTTCTGTTCACAGGGATCTCTGAGCCTTGATCCTCAAACTAACGACACCAGAATCACGGGAGGAAAGTGTTGAAAGTCCAGTGCCCAGACCCTGCCCGGACCTAACGAATGAGCAGCCCGTTTACACTGCTTCTAGAATTCTGGCAGGAACAGCCCGCCTATGGAAACATCCAACAGATAAAGCAGTCATGCACCCACACTGTCTGGGGCCTGCCCACAAAGGGTTTAGAAGCAGCTTTTAGGAGTGAGGCCTAGTCCTGAGGGGTAAACAAAGCTCTCTCCTGGAGAAATCTGGAAAAGCTTACGGAGAGTGGAAAACAAGAAGTGACTGCTAGAATGGCAAGGACCACCCAGACTTCAGGGCAACCCTAACCCCGCTGAGCAGCCCTCATTCCTCCACCCACCACGCTTCCTTGAGCTGCCTTCAGGTGCAAGCCCAGCCTCATGGCAGAGTCGTGCCTGGGGCTCTTTGGCCAGGCCCTGCCTGCTGCTTTGCATCCCCCTAGGAGCTGCTCAGCCCTGGGGACTGTGGCACCGGCCACAGCCTCTGAACATACCCTAGTCCTGCCCACACCTGCTGTGGGGGGCCAGCCCAAGAGCTGGGGTGGCTGCAGTGCCTGGGCCCAGGTCCCCTCCCTGCACTACAGGGGAGGAGCTGTTGGCCAGGCTGCTGCTGTAATAGCCCTCAGTGCTGTAGTAGCTCTCACAAGAGCCACACTCCGCCCAGCTGGCCTCTCGCTCAGGGCTCCCCAGCTCGAGCTATGTGACCTGCATCCTGCCACACCCCACCCCTTACGCAACCCTGCTTTCTCTGTGGTGCCCCCGTCCCCTGCAGGTGCCTGGAAATGCCACTTCCAGCCTTGGACCTACATGCCAGCCACTCAGTACCCTTGTCAACTCCCACCTTCTTCCCCACTCTAGGCTCACTGTGACTTAATTTACCTACTCAAAGAGTGTGCTTCACAGGGGAGCCTTCCTCCCCAAATCTAAGACTCTAGAAAGCAAGGAGCAGTGTCTTGGCATGACCCGCTGTGTTCCGAGCAACCAGCTCCAGGGTTCCTGTCCTTCAGCCAGAATAGTCCCACTGTCCCCCATGTTATGTGATTCTGGTTGTCACTGGAATAAAGGGTTCTCGCCTTAAAAAAATGAAAAATAAAAAATAAAAAACTGCATTCTGATCCAATGCTATTATTTGAAAAATGGAGAACACGGAGCTCCTATTCTGGTTCACCCTTCATTGAATAATTATTTACTATTTATAATCCCAGTACATGCCAGGCACTGTGTAAGGTGCCGGAGGAGGGGGATATTACAGCAAGACTCAGTCCCTTCACCCAAGGAGAGGAAGCAGGAATTAGGCTGCAAAACGAGGAGGACCCGCACGCAGGCACCAAGGGCCCTGGGAGCAGACGCAGCATGAGGGCAGGTCTCACAGAGGCCGCCAGCCGGTCGCTCCTCCCGGGACCCTGCACGCACCACGACAGCCTGCCTCAGGTTCCCTGGTATCTGCTGTGCCCTCTGCCCTTCCCCTCAAGCCTCCAGAGCAGTCTCAGGCCAAGCGATGGCTCCAAAGGGACATGGAGTGTGGGAAATGGCCCAGGTCCTCTGGGTGTCAGAACACCCGGGTCTGGCCCTGACCGCCAGCTGTGAGGCCCAGCAGTTCACTTCCCCCCACCTCTGCCTCTGTTTCGCCAGGGGGGCCTCCTGACACCAGATGCCCTTACCAGATGCACGTAGAGAGGCCCAGGTCCGCCCACACCCTAAGGGACTCACCAGGGCCCGGGCTCTGGCCCCTCTCCGCACTGGGCAGGCTGCAGCTGCCTGCCTGGTGTCCCTTCTCCACTGGCGCCAGAAGATCTGGCTTGGTGGTGGCCCGGCCCGCAGGGAGGAAAAGGCCAGTGGCAGGGCTGTCCTCTGCAGACCTGGAAAGGAGGGTTTTCTGCCAGGCTTGGAGCAGGACTCACTCCCTCTTCAAGACATGTGTTGAGGGGTATGGAGAGTAGGGTGGGCAAGGCCTCTCAGTTTTCGTGGACTAGAATTAAGTGCCATGAGACCAAGAGAAAGGGTTCCCATCCATTGCCCACACAGACAAGTCACCTAGTCCAGACAGATGAGGAAACTCAGGCCCAAAAATGGGGCTGGCCATTCCTGGTGGTCAGGCTCAGGCTTCCTGCGCCCTTCCTTCCACGTGCTTCTCCTTCCCCGCCTGAGGCCGGACAGCCTCGTCACCCTGCCTCCCACAGCACACTGGGACCCTTTTCTGAAGGAGGAACCTCTGCAGCCAGGCAAAGAGAGGGAAGGCACTGTGTTCTGGGCCTCAGCCTCCCAACAAGGGGAGAGAGGGGACAAAAAGCCAACTGCTCACCTGCCCAAAGCAGTGAGAATTCCAGGTGCACGCAGGAGAGCTTGGGAGTAGGGTAGCTACAAAAACCCGCATCTGATCAAGTCTCACATGAAGACACACACCTGCCTGAAGGACCGAACTTCCCAGGGCTGGCCCTCGTTTTCTGGACCTGGGGCATCCTTAAAAGCAGGTCAGGGCCTGGCGCGGTGGCTCACACCTGTAATCCCAGCACTTTGGGAGGCTGAGACGGGCAGATCACGAGGTCAGGAGATCGAGACCATCCTGGCTAACATGGTGAAACCCTGTCTTTACTAAAAATACAAAAAATCAGCCAGGCGTGGCAGCGGGCACCTGTAGTCCCAGCTACTTGAGAGGCTGAGGTAGGAGAATGGCATGAACCCGGGAGGTGGAGCTTGCAGTGACTCCGCCTCAAAAAAAAAAAAAAAAAAAAAAGGCAGGCCTGGCCGAGCACGGTGGCTCACACAGCACGTTGGGTTGGGAGGCCGAGGTGGGCGGAACACCTGAGGTTGGGAGTTCGCAGCCAGCCTGATCAACATAGATAAACCCCATCTCCACTAAAAATACAAAATGAGCCGGGCCTAGTGATGCATGCCTGTAATCCCAGCTACTCAGGAGGCTGAGGCAGGAGAATCACTTGAACCTGGGAGGCAGAGGTTGTGGTGAGTTGAGATCACACCATTGCACTACAGCCTGAGCAACAAGAGCGAAACTCCATCTCAAAAAAAAAAAAAAAAAAGCAGGCCTACAGTCTATCCGTCTTTGCTCAGCAGGAATCAGTGTGCAGAGTGCAGATTGGGAGTCCTAGGGATGCAGATGTAAACCAGGGGAGGCCCCAGCTCCCCAGGAGCAGACAGGCTGGCAAGCCACAGGTGTGCACACAGGAGCTGCCTCTGGCACCACGCAAAGGGCAGGACAGCAAGGAGCAGATTCCAGTTCACTTACTCCATGAGACCTGGGGCAAGTCACATAACCTCTGCATTTCATGACATAAAACCTCAAAATGAGAATGACGGATACCTTCTACCTGCCTGAAGACAGAGGGCTGAACAAATGATCTCTACATGCTTCCTGCTCTCAGATTCAGAAGTCTCGTGTGATTGAGTAAAGAAGTAAAACCAAGGTGTGGAGGCCCCCAGAGACCAGCCTCTTACCCAGGGAGCTCAGGGTCTCGCAGCTCCCCTTCACGACACGTTTGTAGAGCTCCTTCTATGAGTCCTCCAGGCCGCCACCCTGCTGCTCTGAGAAATACCTGACCGCATCTTCAGGAGTCATGGGCACCTGAAAGTACAGGTTGCCTGCACCCACCATGAGTAATAACCATTTCAGGGAGCAGCCAAAACCAACTCCAGTCTCCTCTCCCTTCCCCCGAAGCAGTGGGCATCGCAGGCCAAACTACTAAGCAAATGCAAACTCAACTCCATCACAACACCTTCGGCTAAAGGGCAGAACCAGTGACTAATGGGATTCATGATCGGGGCTCCTGGGTTCTCTTCCCCTCTCCCAGGCACACATATCTCCTACTTGTGCCAGTCCTCACTCTCAGAGATCATGTACAACCACTGCTGCACAACCATTTCTCTCCCAACAAACCCCATTCCATCTTCCAAAGCAGACATTCTTCTGTGTCACAATTTCTTCTGACATTTTTCAAGCCCTTTAAAGTCAACTAGTGACTGCCTTGGATGGCCAGAGGTCAGGCTTCAGGAGCCAAGGAGCTCCCTCCGCTATGCATATGGTAACCCTACAGAATCCAGGCAGGGCCTCTCCACCCATACCCAGCTCCTATACCTTGGGGGCCTCCCCCTTGCTGCCCCGGGGCAGCGGTAGGATCCAGAAGTTTCTGTTGCACAGCAGGTTCTCCAGCTGCCTCTGCAGCAGCCCATACTCCTGCAGCAGAGTCCCCAACATGGCCCACTTGCCCTCCAGCCTGAGCAACAGTTTGGTTCCCAAACTTCACAGCCACCTTCTCGCAGTCAGCCAGCTTCTTCTCGGCTGTCTGTGCGTCCCTCCAGGCTCTGTAGCCAGGCAGCCTGGGGTTCCATCTTCTTCTCCACCACCTGAACAGCAGCCACGATAGCCAGAAGGGAGACCTCTGCAGATCGGATCTGGGCCTCTCCCTGGAGGTCAGTCTGCATATACCAGTCCTGCAACCAGACACAAGTTTGTGAGTCAGCCACCAGAACGAGAGCAGCCCAGAGCCGCTACCAGACACAGGAAGGTCAGGATTCTCCAGAATGGGGGAGACGTTTTCTGAATGCCAGAGGGCCCCACTGGTCAGACTCCCAAACAGACCCCACCTAATACTCAAAGACAGCAGACACTGGACCCCACAAAGCCCCCATGAGAAGACCAGGGGCAAGAACCAAGAACCAAGACCCAGGGGCAATGGAAAATGACATAACTAACATTACTACCATAAATGAATAGAGTGGATCCCAGCTGTACCACTCACTGCCTCTATTAGCTCAGCCCATTACTCAACCAACTAGGGAACATGGCCAGAAGCAGGAGCCAAGAAATGGTGAGAAGCCCAAGTCCAGAACACCTGCCGGGGACCCGGGGTCCAATGCACACCCAAGCAGCAATCTGAGTCCTCAACTTCTTCTAGAACAAGTCCACACACCTTAGTGGGCTCACGGGGAGAAAGGCCTGTTGTTCCACCTTGGCGATCTCTAAGGCCCATCCACCCTGACATCTACTGGTGTGACTTCCTGTCCTGCCTGATACCACATCCCCATGATCCAGGTGCCTTGTCAACCAGCCCCAGGATGGTCTTCACCCTCCTAGCTGCCAGGCAACAGGGGCCAGAGAAAGTTGAAGACAGAAAAGGAAAGAAGAAGGAAACATTACAAGGAATACCCTGTTCACAGGAGGTGGAAAATGCATTGTGTATTGCTGGAAATAAAATTTTAAATCCAGGAATGCCTCAGTGGGGAACAGTTGAGGTATAAAGGGAGCACTCCTGGAAATGGAACTCACCTAGAACTTGACTCAGTGCCTCTCCTGCCATCTGAATCCTGCACAACCTGAGGTCAAGCCGCATAACTTATCTAAGGTTCTATGTTCTCACTTACAGGGATATCCTAACTTCCTTCACTCCTAAGGTGGCTGTGTGGATGAAACACACTGAATATACGAAAAAGCACTCAGGGCGTATGACATTAGCACATGTTATATTCTTAAAAACAAATATAAAGGCTATGGACCAGTGATCTGAATGTGTTAAGAACCAGAGACTGATTAATCTAATTCTGTGCAACTGAGTTTCTCAGAGACCTCCCCAATAAACATACTCAGCAAAGTGTCCCACACATACAAGTACCAGACACCAGATACCTGGCCTTTTCCTTCCTCTCACACCATGGCTCTCCATCCTCAAGTCTGGCCTCTGTCTGATACAATGAAGTGGAGCCCAGAGGAGGCAGCACCGTCTTCAAATTAGGGGCTAACATCCTCACCTCCCTGCAATGCCCTGCCACAAATGTGCCACCCAGGAATGGATCCAAAACCACTGCAAAGCTATTTATACTAGGAGATGGCCCCTCTACCTTTAAAGACCTATGAAAATCTCAACAGTTCTTATGCAGGCCAGCAATGGCCTAGGTCAAGCCTGAGCCTGAAGTCCCTAACCAAAAGTCCTCACAATGCAGATCCCCTCAGCAGTGGCCAGAAGGACTTGTCAGGGAATTTTGGAAAGAGTGGGCAGGCATCAGAATCCTCCTGACTGGAATCAGAGCTCAAGTCTAGAGTCCACTTCACAGTCAGGAGCCAGACTCTGGCTCCACCAGACTGCAGCGGACATCCCTTCCCAGGCCATGGCATTGGTCTCAGCTTGGCGGGAGGGGTGGATCTTTGAGATGGTCCACTGGGGGGTGGGGCGGGGTGGGGGCAAGTGCCAAAAGGCGGGTCCTGAAAGAGGAACCTTGGAGAGTCTGGAATGAAGATGTCCACAGTCCACCACGCCCTCAGAGCCGGGTCCAGTGGATATCAGGGCAGGAGAGACCTCCAAATCTTGTGTTTAGGGCCATTCGCCTTATTCCACAGGCAAGGAAATGAAGAGCGAGAAGGGAGTTTATCGTGTGGCCTTAGGAGTCCTTGTCCTCCTCCTGCCACCCGGGCTGAGCCCTCCCCAGTTCCAGGAGGTGGCGGGGGATGGTGGGAGGTGAGACATCCTCCTGGCGAATTCAGGACTCGGCTCCACGTTCCCACGCCTCCATGAGAGTCGCCCCTACCGGAGGCGCAGCCGCCTCGGCCATGGCCCTGTGCTGGCCTGCCTGGGCAGGGAGTCGCCACTGCCGTTGCGCGCGGCCCCACACAAGCCCGGCTGCACAGTTCTCTTCGCAGACGGCGTCAGCCCCGCTTTCCCCGCACGGACCGAGCTCGCGGGGCTGCCGGGACTCGGGACACACGGAGGACGCGCCTGGCAGGCAGCTGTGCCCCAGGCCCAGCGAATTGCGACCGGGTGGGCCCCGCGTGGGCCCCGCCCCGCATCCCGAAGCCAGATCCCCGTTGGCCGCTGCTGGAGGCTCCGCCCCCGCTTGGCTGGCGCCTGCAACCCAGTGCCGGCTTTTCATTGGCCAGCCCGGGAGGCCCCGCCCCCACAGCGTGCTCAGAGGTTTTGTGCGTGCCCGACAGGTGTGCGCGCCCGCCGACAGGTGTGAGTGCCCGCCCCAGGCTGGTGCCCAACAGCCCGCAGGTGTCGCCAGCTGCCACTGCCCCGCACGGTCACTCACCTCCCAAAGAGCAGAAACCAGATCACGCGCACGCACTCGTTCATGTCAACAAGTTTATTGAGCACCAATTAGGGCAAGGGACTACCACCTTCACAGTTTTCTCGGGCTTATTAACGTCATGGCCCACCCGTTTATTTCAAAAATGAGGAAGACGAGGACCCTGCTGGGGAAGTTTGGGGCCCAACCAGGGCTCCCACCGAGTCTGGGGCACCCTCAGCTCCTGCACCACAAAGCTTCGGTTGACTCGTTTCAATGTAAAGAACGTTACTTAAACACGTCCGAGTGCTAGGCAAACTCACAAGACCTAGCTCAAAGTTGTGCACATTGCTATGAAAAAAAGAAAAAAGGAGAATCAGCACCTTGTGATACTTACACAGGGGCATTTGGCATTAGAAAAACAAGCCCAGAAACTCGGCAAAATTCTTAGCCTGAGGTATCCCTAGAACACCTGAGACTAGCTCCTGCAGCTGAGGGTTAAACTCGCGCACCTGCACTTGCACATATCCTGTCTGAGCTCTTGCTGACAGCCTGTCTCTGATTTGTGAAGCTGCTGGCAAGGGTTGGGGGACCCCAAAACAAACAAGCAGGATCCACAGCACAGAAGAGCGGTGCCTCTTCCCAAACCCAAGGGAGCCTGGCCGAACTGTCACTGACTTGTATACTCACCCTCCTCCCAGAGATGACGGCAATGCTACCACTGGCCCCCAACTATGCTCAAGACTTTGGAAGAAGTGTGAGGGTCAGAAGGGCAAGGAAATGGCACATCCAGGAACCAAGGCCCCCAGAAGCAGCCCTGAAGGGTGGCCACTTCTCAGTGCCAGACAAGGCGGTAAAAAACAAGGTTAGCCGGGGTCCCATCACTCCAGCTTCAGAGTCACCCACACCAAGGCTGCTCTACAGGCAGCACCGCAGTGGTGTGACGGGACACCAGAAGCCAGCTGACCTCCAGACTTCTCCATGAGGCCTGATATTATTGCCTGAACTTCTACAGTCTGAATCTCATGTTTTGGTAGGAATTTGTTCACCGAAACACAAAGGACTCCTGCAGAACAAAGCCCCATGGGCGAGTCTTTCACTGAGCCCAGTGGAACTGCCACTACTCACTCCAGAAGATAAAGGTCCTTCCTGAGGGATCCTGACGGGGAAAAAAAGGCTGGAATGAGTAGAAAGGAGGCCCTGAATTTGAAAGGAAGCACAAAGCTAGGCTTCATATTTGTCCCAGTGCCTCTTAATTTGATCCTGACAACTCTTGAGGTAGGATACACTAGGGCCATGACCCCCTTTGACAGAAGAGGAACATGAGACTAGCTGTGACTGAAGGATTCACCCAGATCTCCTAGCCCAACTCTGCCCCAGAGCCCAAAGTGCTCAAGGGAGAACTCCTTTGAGAGCCTGCCTCCCCTTTAATGTGAAAAGTACGCCTGGAGGCCCAGGGTAGAGGTGGCCCTCAGCCAGACCAAGGGCCTCCTCTAGGGGAGGGGCTTCCTGGGCTCTCTCCGCACTGCCCCTCAGGGTGCTTTCTGGGGTCCAGTCAATGGATCTTACACACCCACGAACACTGAGCTTTGGGAAGAAGTGTCTCCCACTCCAGGCTTCAGTTTCCCCTCCCAGCTGACAAACAAAAGTAAATAATGGACGTGCCTATCCTGTGGGGTAAGGACTAGGAATACTGGGAGTCACTCTGGGCCAAGAAACACACACCTAGGGAGACACTGTGCTTCCGAGACAGCAGCCAAGACATCCCCGTCAAAACCCACAGGCTGGGCCAGGAGTGGTGGCTCACGCCTGTAATCCCAGCACTTCAGGAGGCCGAGGCAGGCGGGTCACCTGAGGTCAGGAGTTCGAGACCAGTCTGGATAACATGATGAAACCCTGTCTCTACTAAAAATACAAAAATTAGCCAGGAGTGGTGGCACACCTCTGTAATCCCAGCTACTCAGAAGGCTGAAACAGGAGAATTACTTGAACCCGAGAGGCAGAGGTTGCAGTGAGCAACCTCTGGAGATTGCACCATTGCACTCCAGCCTGGGCAACAAGAGCGAAACTCCATCTTAAAAATATAAAAGACCCACAGGCTGGTGGAGATAGTTCCCCTTCCAGTTCTGTGAGCCCCACATGGAAAAGCCAGCTCTTTCCACTTTGCAAAAGGCGAAGTTCCATTAGCAACTACACACATTTACAAAAGCACTTGAGTCTCTATAACAAGGGAAAAAAAGTTTCAAAATAGCAAAGTAAAAAAACTTTCCAGGGCCCTTTCTTCAGGCCAACCATCCACTCCCCTGTCTCATGGTGACAGCAGGCAGGAGACCTCTGCACAAAACAAAAATCCCAGGTCCCCGCACAAAACAAAAATCCCAGGTCCCCGATGTCTCTATCGCCCCCATACTGGAAGGGCCATGATCTCTGGTCCTCTTGGCTCTGGTACCTACCAGAGGCCCCATCAAAAATAAGACATCCCTTAAGCCTTAAGGAATCTTTTACAAGTCAGGAATGCAGAAAAGGCAGCAAAGAGTGCAAACAGGAAACAGAAGGCAC